TGCAGTCCAAAGATTGTTGAATAAAATTGTAACTGGTGTGGCTGACAGAAGAAGATGCCAAAGAGATATTTGCACTAAAAGGCAGTAGAATGTTAAATAAAGGTTAGACAGCATATAATAGAAATTTAAATAATTTATTGTGGGGTCTTTTGGAGTTGTGATCTTTGTCATGCTCTTCTGGTCTATTGTATCATTTTCATCAAGCCAAGAATACAGATTAGCAAGATCATTTCTATGAATGATTTTAAAGTATAATTTCACGTTATATGTTTATTTTCTTTTGCATTTAAAAGATGTTAATTGCAATGCTTAATAGAAAGTCACTAACACTTTAATAATCTGTCTCTTAATGCTATGTTGTATATGCAATGTGCCAAATAAACAGTAGAGTAGATTGCATCTTATTTACATGAATATTTGAATTTCATAGTTGTTGTCGCAAGGCATTAAGGATGTTTAACTAATACAAGAAATTAAGTATACAACATAATTATACAAAGGAAACAAACAGACATTGATTCATGATAAGTAGAATAAAAAGGATGTTTAAGATGTTGATTAATATATAAAAAGGCTGTGATAAGTTGCAAGAAATAGTAAACAGAATTACTAAATCATTAGGTTGGGTTTCAAATTAAATTGTTTCTAAACCACTAAACCAGCTTTCCTAATCAGTTTAAACTGCAAAAATTAAACAACTTTAAAGTTTGCAATAGGAAAAAAAAAATCCAAAATGTGAGAAGTCATTAGACGCAGTAGTTTTATTTCTTCTATTTTTTTGGATGTTTCAGATTTTATTTTTAAAAGGTTACGCTTAACATGATGCAATTGCAGTGCTTTCTAGTTACTGAGAATTTAATTTATTTACCATATAAAGGAATATGTTCCCACTTTTCAGTGTAAATATAAGAACTATAGGGGGCATATAGGCATAATGTAGCATTTAATGCAAGCCAAAGTATTAAAGAGAACCAAAAACATTTCACAATAGAAAAGTTTTTGTTTCAATACACTATTACTCGCAAAGCTGTAATCTTTATTTTTTTTTCTCATATTCTCTTATTTGCTTAAATTGGTTCTAAAGACGGAAGATTTTTTTTTTTACCTTAATACATTATATGCATTAAGGTAAAAACCTTCTGCATGCAGCCCCCCCCCCCCCCTAAATATTTGCCTGAGCTTAACCTTGATTCAGCGATGTGGACGAGAGAAGCAGCTCTTCCAGAGACATAGCAGTGGGAGCCATTGGCTCCTGCTGCAGTCAACCACAGCCAAAGGGGAGGGAGCAGGCAAGACCAATCCACCCTACAACAGGCACACAACAAACATAAAGACATACAATAGACACACAAACACAACAGGTACACAAAGCCAGTTTGGGAGTGAAACACACACAAGTACCCCCATAGCAAGTGACTTGCTATGTGGGAACTTGGCAGGAGGGAGGAGTGGGGCCAATCTGTGCAAAACCATTGAGCAGGTAAGCATAACATGTTTGCTATTTTAAATAAAAGTCGATCCATTACAATCATTTTAAAGTAGAACTGTGGCCTCTGCACTTAATTATAAACTCAGATGTAGCATTTTCTCTTAGTCCTTAATCCACAAAGTCCCACAAATATCTGTGAAGTCCACCTGATGCCGCTTTCTGTGTTGGTGTAGCAACCATGCTGTCATGTCTGATTGCACTACAGTAAGATGAATAAATGTTGCAAAAGGCATGACTATCAGCATTGTTACTGATAATTTACAAGTCTGTAGCATGTCAGTCAGCAACTGGCTTTACCTTGTTCTGCCCACTGCTTACTGGATTTGCAGTACTTCCTCTGGTGCTGCTACCCTCTTGCTGTGAGCTGCAATGTCTGGAGGTGCTTGCAAGCCTCACATCAAGGGGGATTTGGCTCAGTTAGAAGAGGTAAAGGAAGTTTTTTTTGTTAATTTTATAACGCCTGTGCATCCCATAGCAACTGGATTTGGTACTCATTTAGTTGTCATACAGAAGCCTCGACTGATAACTGAACATACTACTTAGGGTCTCTGGGTTCTAAGGCATTCAAGTTACTTTCAAAGATCTTCAGACATCTCTAGGTGTCTGATTTTTAAATCCTGGTGACATTTTGGCAAGGATACACATTTACTTTATGTAAAATACTGTATCTTGAAAGCATACGCACACTTTTTCATTTCAGGTGCATTGGAAAGATGGTAATTCAGAGATCCTTCGACCATAAAGCATACCTACTAAGCTGGTAACCATCAGGATTGCAGTAATGTTGCCTAGTGACAACTATGTAATATATGCATCATGCTTAATATAATTATAATGTGTATACATGAGGAACCATAATACATTCCTGATGGCATGACAGTGCATAAGGTAAGCAATCAATTTTGGGCCACACTATATGATACAGATCAATAGATAACAGTAGTTTCATTGTTTTTAACTCACTATACCAATGGACCACTTATGGCACTTGATAGGAGCATTAACCCAATGTAAAAAAAAAAAAAAAATATTCCGCATATACATTTTTCAATGTAAGGGAACCCATGTACAAAACCAATAGTGTGTGTGTTTATTAATGTCTCAAATTCAGTCAAGTACAATGATTTTAACTCCATTATAGCACTTGTGTAAGTCTTCGCAAGAATTTCAGTTTGCTCAAAGCATTATCACATACAGCCTCATTTAATTAAAAAAGAAAAAAACTTATTACACATTGACAACACTTTGTGGTTAGAGCATTAGTGTATTTCTTTATGCAATAGGGAAACACTTTAGATTTATGACCGCAGTTACCAATAAATGAATCTGTCAGTATTTAGGAAAAATGCCTACTCATTGGTGTAGTCCCTATGCTACTTTGATAATATACAATCAGTTAAAGAATTAAGACAAAATATCAGCCTTCAGAAACCTTAGTTTCTTAAATCATATTCGTAACTTCTAGAATATGTACCAAATTTTAAATAAATTTGTTTATTCTGTGGTATTCTGTCACCTTTAACTAACAGAAGTAGCATGAGTTTAAAAAGTGCATTCCATTTGACTGATTCCTTTACATGTTTTAGCTGACATGAAATATTGCAATTGAAAATATTGTGTTAAGTAACGTGTGTAATGCTGTTGTCTAACAATGCATAAACATATTGCTTATGTTACGAGTAACTGGAAAAATACAAATAATGAGAAAATGACATTGATGCAAAAGTTATTCAACCTTAACCATTCATTTTTAAAATGCGTCATGGAATATAATTGTTTAACCTTATGAGTAGCCTGTTAAAATTCCTTTTATCTAACACTGCAGTAATTCATTAAATGGGGTACTATTGCCAGTAATATTAAAATATTTCAAACTGTCTCTTTCTGCCAAGGGGCAAATGAAGCACAGTAGCCTAATGCTGCTAATGCAAGATTTCATAGATAGCTGTGAATAGTTCTAATTTTACAGTCTGTCATAAAACATCTCTTCGTGCTTTTTCATGAAATTTTTTTCTCTGCATTATTCTCAATAGTTAAGTAAAGTGTATGAAACCAAGCCCTAGATATTTATTTTTCTAAGCTTCTGGAGTGATGTAAGAATCCAACAAGCACACTGATAACATAACAAAATAAAAAATTAGAGTAAATCACCATGTGATGACAAAGATTTGAATTGGCATGCTATGCTTACCAAGAAAAGAAGCAAGGTTATTTGAATGTATTATCGTTTTGATGTTTGGGCAAGGAAAAATATTTGAAAACAAGCAGTCTTCTTAACCAATTGAAGATCAGAGGACCAAAACATTTAGAGGTGTATTGGTTTTGCATCAAATAACATTTTGTGAAATAAGTCATTTTTCCTCATGCTATTTCCCATCATTCTCACATCCTCACATATCGCCCTCAAACAATAATCAGTCTTTTGGCCTCTTAAAGTGGTTCGAAAAGCAAAATGATTGTTACATTAATGCATTCTCTGCAGTAGGGTAATGAAAAAAAAAACTTCTGCATGCAGCTCCCCTGTTCCCCCTTTATACTTACCTGAGCCCACTCTTGATCCAGCAATGTGCATGAGAGCAGAGGCTCTCTAACTTCACCATTGCATCAGAGACAGCAAGAGTCATTGTCTCCTGCTGCTGTCAATCACTGTCTATGAGCAGTGAGTAGGGAGCAGGGGTCTATGGGCACACATAATGGGGCACTGCAGTGAGCCTGCACTAGTGCCCATATAGCAAGCAATTTACTATGGGGGCACTTGACAGGGGTAGGAACCAGGAGCACTGGCAGGGGATCCGAAAAGAGGAGGAACGGAACTGCTCTGTGCAAAACCATTGCACAGAGCAGGTAAGTATAACATGTTTGTTATTTTAATTTAAAAAATGAACCTTTAATATACACTTTAATCTCTCAGAATTCCAGCCAAAAATAACTAGATATTGAATTAAACTTATTAGCCAATTCAAATAAAATAGCAACAAAACCAGATTTGTTTATGTAATATTTACTTTCAATCCAGAAATGTTCCCACAGTACTTTCAGCTATTAGATATCTTCAGTCTGATTACAATTTCATTCAGCTAATTTCCTCTGAGCCTAGGTCATCTAAAGCAGAAGCAGCATAGCAATGAGCTCATCCCTCTGTCCCTCTGCTTTATTTTCCTATGAGCGTGCTACTTGTGTCTTCTTTCCACACCCAGCTCTGCTGTACAGGGCCTGCAAAAGGCCTATACTAAGTCAAATGCGAAAACTTACAGTATTTTTTGCTTCATAAGACGCACTTCCCCCCCAAAAAAATGGGGGAAAATGTCTGTGCATCTTATGGAGCGAATATGGAGTGGCTAGCCTGATATTCCCGCCACCGCCGTGCTAGAATACTGGGCCGGCCACTCGGCTCTGCTGTGCAGTAGGACCTGCTCCTCGGTCCTACCTGTTCTTCGGTCCAGCGGTGTCCTCACCGTCTTCTCTCCCTGGCACCGGCATCTTTAATCGGGCACCTGGCTATGACAGCTGGGTGCCCACTGCATATGCAAAAAAAGTGCTGTGCTTTGTGAATGGTCTGGCAGTGTTCTGGGACCTGTCATGTGTCCCAAAAGACGGGGAAGGAGGACAACTCTGCGGAAGTGGGAGCGAGTACCTGTCAAATTTGGGTCCCCGCGCTCCCCCCGCTCCCCAAAGGTCTGCAGTCTCTGGTCTCCTGTACTACTCTGTCCTGCAGTCTCTGGTCATTTCCTGTAGTATGTCTGCAGTCTCTGGTCATCTCCTGTACTGTGTCCGCAGTCTCTGGTCATCTCCTGTACTATTTCCGCAGTCTCTGGTCATCTCCTGTACTGTGTCCGCAGTCTCTGGTCATCTCATGTACTATGTCCGTAGTCTCTGGTCATCTTCTGTACTATGTCCGCAGTCTCTGGTCATATCCTGTACTGTGTCCGCAGTCTCTGGTCATCTCCTGTACTATGTCCGCAGGCTCTGGTCATCTCCTGTACTATGTCCGCAGTCTCTGGTCATCTCTTGTAGTATGTCTGCAGTCTCTGGTCATTCCCTGTACTATGTCCGCAGTCTCTGGTCATCTCCTGTACTATGTCCGCAGTCTCTGGTCATCTCATGTACTATGTCCGTAGTCTCTGGTCATCTCCTGTACTATGTCCGCAGGCTCTGGTCATCTCCTGTACTATGTCCGCAGTCTCTGGTCATCTCTTGTAGTATGTCAGCAGTCTCTGGTCATTCCCTGTACTATGTCCGCAGTCTCTGGTCATCTCCTGTACTATGTCCGCAGTCTCTGGTCATCTCATGTACTATGTCCGTAGTCTCTAGTCATCTTCTGTACTATGTCCGCAGTCTCTGGTCATATCCTGCAGTATGTCTGCAGCCTCTGCTCATCTCCTGTAGTATGTCCGCAGTCTCTGGTCATCTCCTGTAGTATGTCCACAGTCTCTGGTCATCTCCTGTACTATGTCCGCAGCCTCTGCTCATCTTCTGTAGTACATCCGCAGTCTCTGGTCATCTCCTGTACTATATCCACAGTCTCTGGTCATCTCCTGTACTATGTCCGCAGTCTCTGGTCATCTCATGTACTATGCCCGCAGTCTCTTGTCATCTCCTGTACTATGTCTGCAGTCTCTTGTCGTCTCCTGTACTATGTCTGCAGTCTCTGGCCATCTCCTGTACTATGTCCACAGTCTCTGGCCATATCCTGTAGTATGTCCACAGTCTCTGGTCATCTCCTGTACTAAGGCCACAGTCTCTGGTCATCTCCTGTAGTATGTCTGCAGTCTCTGGTCATCTCCTGTACTGTGTATACAGTCTCTGGTCATCTCCTGTACTGTGTCCGCAGTCTCTGGTCATCTCCTGTACTATGTCTGCAGTCTCTGGTCATCTCCTGTACTATGTCTGCAGTGTCTGGTCATCTCCTGTACTTTGTCTGCAGTCTCTGGTCATCTCCTGTACTATGTCCACAGTCTCTGGTCATCTCCTATAGTATGCCTGCAGTCTCTGGTCATCTCCTGTAGTATGCCTGCAGTCTCTGGTCATTTCCTGTACTATGTCTGCAGTCCATTGGTTCAGAATATTTTTTTTCTTGTATTCCTCCTCTAAAACCTAAGTGCATCTTATGGAGCGAAAAATACGGTACATTGCTTGCATCTAAAAATTTAATTTAATTGCTATCACTCCCTGGAAGGTTAATTAAAAATTACACAGCTGCATTATTTGCTTCTTTTAGATCTGCCTATAGTTCAGTCTTAAGATGATGAATGCCACATGAATGTAATTTTTACATAATTTAGCATGGGGTTGAGCCCAGAGTAAAAGTTCAGCTTTTAAACTACTCTGGAGATTTTTTTCCCCTTATATTAAATTAAACCTCTCACAGCTGTAAAAGATCTGTTTGCATAAGTGGTTGATGTCCATGCAATAAACAAAAATGTTTTTGTAAGTCCTGTGGGGTTAATACAATTATTTTTTTTTCATTTTCCATTTTTTTGTTACTTTGATACAGCTCACAAGCTCCTCTGCTGCAAAAGTTAATTTAGAATGGTGATCTATTATTTGTGGTTATCATTTTGCTATTACAGTAATCTGTTGCTGTAGTAAGAGGCAGAGGAGAGCTAGATCATGTATTTTTTTCTTCAACATGGCCACTTGGGCTAACTGTGTATCCTGATGACTACGCAGACAATGTCGCTGGAACTTTCCTGTAATTATAATTTGAAAGTATTTGGGTTATAATGCTGCAGAAGTATTGGAAAAAAGTCCAAATAAATAAAACTCTTTAAAAAATTCCTGTCTATGAAAGATAACTCAAACAGAGCAAAAACTATTTGGGTCTGCCTTTTACACATTGCCATATTCATCATTGCTGTGATGATTGTAGAGGGACTACAGTTTTGTGTTGCCTACAACAAAATATAAATACAAGACAAAAATTTTGCATGTGAACGTCAAGCACATGAATATACAAGACGGCGTCTAATGCCAAAAGGGATGCAGGTGTTGTAAACAGAACAAAACTATGTTACAATAAAATCATTTGTGTATGGGTTTAGCAAGATAAGGCATGCTTTGGTGCTCATGTAGTGTATATAGCTTTTTTCTATACTGCTTAATAATGATGAGTGTAAATAAAGATAAACTGCAATTTCCATTGCGGTTATTATCTTGGTCAGAGGTACCCACTCCCCTCTCTGCTGCATCCCTCATATGGTTTCCTAACACCAACATGGCAATGAATCGGAGCTTGAATTTAGTATACTGCCTTGCTCTTCGCTGTATTGAAGTAAGTAATCTCTCTACAAAAAAAAGGGATCAAATGATTGATGTTCCCAAATGAATAAATTAATTTGTCTCTTTGAAATACCACAGAAAGCAACACACATTCTACAGTAGCAAACACTGCCTGGGCTTAGATTAACACACAACACTGCTTTGAAATAATAGTACATAATGTAATTGCTGACTGTTTTTTTTTGTTGTTTGTACAAATAATCATGCATTTAAAAAGAGAATTTCTCAAAGGCAGAGTAAACTAGTAAACATTGTAGACTGTTCTACCAATGCAATGTCACTAGTATTTTTGATAATGTAAAATTAAGTGTCTATATCAAAGGGTTTAGTCCTCTAAGTTACAATGGACTACTTTCAATTTTTTACATCTATCCTTTCTGTGCATGCCCTGACATTGCCCTGTGCCCAACATGAAAATAGGTAGTACGTTTTTGGCTTTCCATCTCACTGAACGTCTTCTAGTTCCTTCACTCAGTTTCATCTTGCAGTTCAGAAATACTACACAATTCCTCAGTATAGATGTGCCAGCATATACGCTCACCAGCAACTTTATTAAGTACACCTGTTCAATTGCTTGGTAACACAAATTACTAATAAGCCAATCACATGGCAGCAATTCAATGCATTCAGGCATCTGGTGAAGACGACTTGTTGAAGTTCAAATTGAGCATCATGATGGGAAAGAAAGGGATTTAAGTGACTTTGAATGTGGCATGATTGTTGGTGCCAGATGGGTTAGTCTGAGTATTTCAAAAACAGCTGATCTATGGGGATTTTCATGCACAACAATCTCTAGGGTTTACAGAGAATAGTCCTAAAAAGAGAAAATATCCAGTGAGCAGCAGTTGTTTGGACAAAAATGCCTTGTTGATGTCAGAGAAGAATGGGCAGGCTTGTTCGAAATGATAGAAAGGCAACAGTAACTCATGTCAAAATCACTGAGACATGTTTCCAGCACCTTGTTGAACCTAAGCCAGAAAGAAATAAGGCAATTTTAAAGGCAAAAAGGGGGTCCAACTAGCAAGGTGTACCTAATAATGTGGCCGGTAAAAGTATTTTTTGATTGATATATATATATATATATATATATATATATATAGTCATCATTGTTTATCCCTTTGCTTCACTGAGAGATATAGAAAACCTCCATTGTGCATCTGTAGATTTCCTTTCAACTCCTGTCATGTCGACACAACAGTAAGCAAAGAAAAATCAACTCTTAAGTTAATCCATTGAATTCAGTACAAAATCCTGTTGGATGTTTTGCATGCGATGCACTGCCTGCAGTGATCATTGTGTTCTGCCGGTAAGCCTGCATAAGAGATTCTCCCATCAACACAACACTAACTGTGTTTATGGGTGTATCAAGCAATTTTCTTTCCTTCCACCCATGGAGGGAGGGAGGGGGAGAGAACACTGTGAAAATTGTATAATCTATGGCTTGTCTTAGACAGTTGTCACCGGAACAGGTGTCCCCATTGAAACACATTCTCTCACCTTGTGAGGACAGGTATTTCCCACTACTTTCTAACAAATGGGGTAAACTTTTTTAGCATGGACTGGGAAAATTCCCTTTTAGACAGTTGGCAGTAGAATAAGTGTCCCCAATGAAAGATTTCCTCTGTTCCTTTCTGTTCTTTTCTGGAGACAACTCAAAATATTGAATTTTTTCCCACTTTCAGTCCCACTGACAATGGTAACCAGAACAAATAGAAAGTGCAAGTCTACAAACAGCAATAAAAACGAAATGGGGGGTTTACCTCTCCCTATTGTGTCCACAACTGAAAAAAAAAAATTTTGATTTTGGATACATTTTATCTGATGACCTGTGACCACAAAAAATGACAAGACACATCCAATGAATCACTGATACCTTGCATCATGCACTCCCAAAATGCTATGTACTACCACTGGTCTACTACTTTCCTAAGTGCTAAAATGAGGACAGTGATGCTACAAGGACAGAGGACATTTCACAATTCCAAACCCAGATTAAACATATACTGTATACTGAAGAATGTGAAGTGCTCCCACACACACTTATGTATTCTGACGCAAGAATCCAGTCCTTATTGTCCTTGTCTTATTAGCATGCTTTCCTTTTCATCCTTTTCCCTCAGCCTGCAATTTACAGGTAATGAAAGACATCAACATCTGTGCAGGAATAAAATACAGACTGCTCATATCTAAGAGAAGTTTCTTAGTGAGAAACGTAGCAAGATGTTATGAGCTGATGACTTGCTAAATGTCAACCCGCCCCTTATTTTAAAGTAGGAACACTGACAACCCTACCAACATAACAATTTAATTTGTTCTGTTAGTATGTATTATTATATGTTAAGTCAATTGTTTTAAAAATATCACATTGTTACAATAACATCACTACAAATACAATTCCCTTTTTTAACACCAATCCAGGCACACTCTTTTTCATGCACACACAAAGGAAAAGACTCCTTTTTGATAATGGTGTAGTAAAGCCAGATAGAAATTGCATTATATCTTATTTTTTCCAAATATGTATAAATCAATCTACAACCTAAAATTCTGTTCCTGTGTCTGTTGTGCTAGATTGTTTCAAATCCTGTCTCTCTCTAATGAGGTACCAATCTTAGACCTTGTTATGCTACACGCTCTCTATAATATATTGTATAGTGCCTCCAATGTCCATCTGGTTATAGGAATAGATATTTTATACTGTACGCGCAGCTTATTTCATAGATATTCTTTTTACCCTGGGGTATGTTTAAAATGCAGACCGATAGTCATAGAGAAATTGCACTTAAAAGGCATTTTTGTGACAGTATATTAATCTTGCAATAACTGTAATAAAAAAAGAAAAAGAAATGCTCAAATGTATTCTGTATATTAGCCTTCCAGAGAGTGATAGCATGCAGTAATATGATTCTTTATGTT